AGTCCTTAACATTCAGTGTACAGGGATTAAGACCCGGATAACTTCAGAGATCATTAGCCAGCCTCCCACTCAGGGCTTTCCAAACTGCACTGGTCCCCTAGTTGTCTCAGCCCACCTTCCTCTCAGGGAGAACGGCCAAGATGGAAATCTGACAGCCTCTGTTCAAGGAGCCCTCAGGCATGAAAAAACAAACAAACTGAGAATCGTTAAGATATAAGTAACGCTGTCATGTTTGAACTACTATTCTACATAAAACTGTAATTTTTAAACAATGAATGATCAAATCATTTCATAAGACATTTCCATAAAATATAAAATCATTGAGTGAAGAAATGTGTGGCAAATAGTGAGGCCTCTGTTCAGGGCTTTTCCCCCAGGCTCTCTATCCTGATAAGAGTTTCTGAACATGTGACTTCCTAAGAGGTGAATCACAGACATGATCTAAACATGCCCAGAGAAGAGACATACCTTTAAATCTCTCCCACTGATACTTAAAACACACTCAACCAAAAAGAAAGCTGTACAACACCACGCTGAGAGAAATGCATTTCTTTTCCCATTAAAAAAGTAATATCAGCCGAAACCGGTTTGGCTCAGTGGTAGAGCTTCGGTCTGCGGACTGAAAGGTCCCAGGTTCGATTCCGATCAAGGGCATGTACCTTGGTTGCAGGCACATCCCCGGTAGGGGGTGTGCAAGAGGCAACTGGTCGATATTTCTCTCTCATAGACGTTTCTAGCTCTCTATCTCTCTCCCTTCCTCTCTATAAAAAATCAATAAAATATATATTTTTTTAAAAGTAATATCACTGCTAACAATAGATAATCAAACTCAAACTAATCCCTGATAAGTTAATGTTAAGAATTATTTAAATAACCACATTCTAATTCCAGCATTGCACATATATGATATATTCTATAAAAGGAAAAAGGGAAATAAAGTTCCCATAGTTACACTATACCAGCGTTTTTCAACCGCTGTTCCGTGCCGCGAGATGTTGCCTGGTGTGCCGTAGGTGCAGACAAGACAAGAATTTTATAATTTTTCACTATTTTGTTTACTTAATATTTCATAATAAAGTAATTATAAAATACTTTCTTTGTGTTTATTTGATTCCTATTCAAGAGAATTACTTTATATATAGTCAATATAGGCACAGAGTTAAATTTTTTAACATTTTCTAATGGTGGTGTGCCTCGTGATTTTTTTCATGAAACAAGTGTGCCTTTGCCCAAAAAAGGTTGAAAAACACTGCACTATACCATCTGATACACTCCACATTTTTTTCCACAAGGTTGGTCTCCTCTGCCCCTTGTTTTTCCATGACCTCTCCTTTTTTCTCTAGCTAGCTTAGCCTCTTTTATTCTCCAACTCTCCACACTTTGTCAGAGATACTTTGCTCCAACCATTTCTAAGATGCACTACCTGTCACTGGCTTTCCATTTCAATTGTTGATGGAACTATGTGGATGCAGACTTAACCCCCTGAGGACCAGACCTCTAGCCAAGCAGCAAGCAAAGCTGCTTTCACGGGATTATACTGATCAAACCTCTCCAGTGGCTTCTTCTCAAGCCCAGGCTGAGTTCAAACTTCCTAAAAGACAGAGGAGACCCTCCCTAATGAGGTTCATGCCTACATCCCAAACCATCCGTCACCCCTCCCAGCCACTGGCACCCTACGCCTCAGCCTAGGCCTTCCCAAAGCATGCCAGAATAACTAGTAATTCTGCACACACTTCATTGGAAATGGCCCCCATCAACTGCCAACAATGTATTCATTATTCAAAATTCAGTTTGGAATCAGCAGCATAGTCAGGTTCCTCTAAAATAGTCCTTTAACTCTAGCCGAAGCCAGTTTAGCTCAGTGGTAGAGCGTCGGTCTGCAGACTGAAAGGTCCTGGATTCGATTCCGGGCAAAAGCATGTACATTGGTTGCAGGCACATCCCTGGTGGGGGCTGTGCAGAAGGCAACTGGTCGATGTTTCTCTCTCATCGACATTTCTAGCTCTCTATCCCTCTCTCTTCCTCTCTGTAAAAAATCAATAAAATATATTTTTTTAAATAAAATAAAATAGTCCTTTAACTCTAGCAAATCCCTCTTCCTTTGTCTTCTTACTGTTTACACCTGTTGCTCCTGAGGCACTTTAGACCCTCCATTGACATTTTATGCACAGTCTGTGTTTTCATATTAAAATATGTTTCCATATCATATTATAATCATTTTTGTACAGACACACCCATCCCCCAGTTCCCAGCACAATACTGGCACATATTAGATTGCTAAGAGCTGAATACAGAATTTTGCCTTTACCTTCTCTCTGCTTTTAAACCTTGCTTTGGGAAATATTAGCTGTGACTCATGTATACCTAGATCGAAGTATCAGTTCATACACAGGGCTAGCTGCTCTAGAAATCTATATTTCTAAACGTAAAATAAAACTGGTTGTCTCTGTTAAGTAAGCTCCAGATAGTAGCAAGCTTTCATGGTTGGAAGCCCTCACATCCTGAAAACATACCTTAAAGGTGCCCTAAGCCTGGCAGAAGGAAATACATCATGGGATTTGCAATCTGCAGAGTCTCGGGGTCAAAATAGACCTATTTTCACAACCAAAATGATAGTGGAGACCTCTTTTGAGCACATCCAGCAAGCTCCCAAAGAAGCGTGCTTCAGTTTTTGTAAGTGTCTTTAAAAAAAACATACTTTAACACTGTTGAGCCCTCTGGCCAATAATGGATGAAATTGCAGAGTAATGAAGGAAGGAAATCCAGCATTGCAAAATTTAAAATTAAAAAAAAGCAAGGAGTACAAATCACTTTAGGGCACATTTTTGCTTTTTAAGTTTGAGACTCAAGAAGGCTAGCCACCCTACAATAGTCGTATCTAGGAAAATCAAGATTAAAACAGGAAGCCGTTTGTGCATAAATCGCTATGGCAGGAAACTGATTAGTTCAGCAAAGAGACAGGATGCTTGTTGTCTCTACTGTTGTTTAATTCTGTGTCTCCTCCATGGGCCAACTGCTCTGAGATAAAGGACTGTAAAGTTGCCTCGTGAAAGCAGACTGAAGTACAATGAATAATGAATGCAGGACTAATACAAAAAGCACTGGCGGATGTTGCAAGGAAAATGAAATCAGTCAGCAGAGATGAGAGGGAAAGGCAGTCTAGTAATATTACCCAAAACAATACTGTGATCTATGGAATACTATGTTCTAAATGATGGGCCCCTAATAAAAGGAATACTATCAAAATAAGTTTCAGGCATGCTTTGAAAAAGTGCTTCTTCAGGATAATCTTTTTTTTAAATATATATTTTTATTGATTTTTTACAGAGAGGAAAAGAGATAGAAAGCTAGAAATGGCCGAAACCGGTTTGGCTCAATGGATAGAGCGTCGGCTTGGGGACTGAAGGGTCCCGGGTTCGATTCCGGTCAAGGGCATGTACCTTGGTTGCAGGCATATCGCCAGTAGGGGATGTGCAAGAGGCAGCTGATAGATGATCCTCTCTCATCGATGTTTCTAACTCTGTATCTCCCTTCCTCTCTGTACAAAATCAATAAAAATATATATATAAAAAAAAAAGAAAGAAAGAAAGCTAGAAATGTCGATGAGAGAGAAACATCGACCAGCTGCCTCCTGCACACAGCTTCGGCCAGGATAATCTTTTCTATGAAGCCTGAAGAATCCAAATTGGATTGCTTAACATCTGCCAAGACTTATCACTCAACACCCCACCCTGTGGTAGGCAGCATTTCAGCCCCCCAAGGATGTCCACTCTACCTCCTAGAACTGTGACTGAATTGCCTTAGAAGGCAAAAAGAACTTTGCAGATGTGATTAAGGATAAAGACCTTGAGATGGGAGATTATCCTAATGTCCAACCTAATCACATGGTTCCTTAACTTTGGAGGTACCATCCCAGCTGGGTGTAGAGAGAGGGAGACGTGACTACAGAAGAGATGCATGGCTGCTGGCTTTGAAGACAAGGGAGGGGGTTCCCTAATCAATGAATGTGGGTGGCCTCTGGAAGCTGGAAAAGGTGAGGGAACAGACTCTCCTCTGGAGCACTAATGGAGGAATGTATCCATTTTAGCCCAGCGAGGCCCATGCTGGGTCTGTGATTACATCATGGTTAAATAATAAATAAGCATCGCTTTAAGCTAAGCCACGCAATGTGAGGCAATTTAATACAGTAGCAGCAGAAAACTGTTTTACACCCAGATTCTTCCAGAGTTTTTAATCATGAAATGCGATACACACGAAAACCAACTGGCATAACCTCAGAAGTGACTATCTAGCAGATCCCCTAAAATTTGCACATGACTTATTTCTAAAATGCTTTTCTGAGAAGCAAACAGAGAAAGTTCTGAAACAGTAGATCTTTCAAAAAGGTAATGAGAGATTCAATATGCACTTAAAAAAACACCTGACAACCTGGCCTGCATGGCTCAGTGGTTGAACATCAACCTATGAACCAGGAGGTCACGGTTCGATTGCCAGTCAGTGCACATGCCTGGGTTATAGGCTTGATCCCCAGTGGGCTGTGTGGGAGGCAGCCAGTCAGTGATTTTCTCTCATCCTTGATATTTCTACCTCTCTTTCTCTCTCTCTTCATCTCTAAAATCAATAAAGATAAATTAAGAAAAAAAAAAAAAACTTGATACATGATCAACTTCTTCCAATAAATCCAGTAGAAAATACCATTTGATGTACTTGAAATTCTTTTGTACTTAGTACAAAAGCCTTTATCTCTATGACCTCCTCTACCTTCCTCTTCCCTTTTTCCTCCACACCCGATTTTGAAATATTTTTAGATGAAATTTTATAATAAATATTTATTGGCAGGCATGTTTTCTAGAATTTATTACAGTGATAAAAACGACTGAAGTTCAATTTGCTAATTGAAACGTTGCTGTTGGTGAACAATGCAGCACTGATTCACATCCCAGGCCTTGTTTAGATCTCACTGGTTAAATAAGGAGGAGCTAAAAATCCTTCTTACTCACCACTTTGCAGCAAAGGGGCCAAAACCACCACATCAGACCGATGCCCACGAGCAGCAGTAACACCAAAATGGCAATGATGGCTGCAATCCCATTAGACTGGAGGAAGAAGGAAACAAAAACAAGATGGTCAGCAAAGCTAATGGTCAAGTCCTTGGACGAAAGAGGGCCTACCAAGAGCAGAGGAGCCTGCATGGTGAGCCTTGCAAACTCAGAGACTGAGAGTAATCACAGAGGATGGTCTGAACACAAAAATCCCAAGTAAAAACAGGTAAAGGCCTGCAGTCATGTCCTAGGGCTGTACATCCCTTGACAAAGGCCAATCTTTATCTTAAGTGAGCCTGTCTACTGTTGTTATTATTATTATTAACTATCGTGTGTCTCTGTTTTATCCTGTCCGAGATTTCCGTTTTGCTTTCTCCTGCCCCTTTATCTACCAACAATGGATTTCATGGAACTGTCCTTAGGTCTCCTCTTTTGATAAGTTTTTGTTGTTTGTTGTGGCATTTTTGTTTGTTTGTTTGTTTGTTTGTGTGAAAAATTCTAGGGAATGCCCCCCCCCCTTTTTTTTTCAGAGAGAGGAAGGGAGAGAAATGTGAATTTGTTGTTCCACTTATTTATGCATTCATTGGTTAATTCTTATATGTGCCCTGACTGGGGATCAAACCCAAAACCTTGGTGTATAAGAACAATGCTCTAAGCTACCTGGCAGGGCTTTGATTCTAATGTATAAAATACACTGCGAAACAGGCATTCTCTGAAGCATTTTCTCAATCTGAGATTTTGTTTCCCATCAATGTCAGTTTGGCTCAAATAAACTCTTAAAAATTCTCAAAATTCTCAACAGCTTGCCCTGGCCAGGTGGCTCAGGTGGTTGGAGAGTCATCCCACCAAAAAGGATGCAGGCTTGATTCCAGGTCAGGGCACAGAGCTAGGCTGCGAGTTTGATCCCCAAACAGGGGGCATACGAGAGGCAATCAATTGATGTTTCTTACATCCATGTTTCTCAATATCTTTCTCTCCCTTCCTCTCTCTCTAAAAATCAATAAAAACATATCCTTGGCTGAAGATTAAAAATATTCTCAGCAGGAATGAATAATTATTGTTTATACCCAATACACATTTTTTTAGGAAACACCAGAAACCAACACAGGGAGCATAATAATGTCAAACCAGATTTCTATTCCTTTAAATTCTTTAAGGTATATAAATTGCTTTATATTCTATTTCATATATGTTATTATAAGGCAAGTCATCATAAATATAAAATCTTCCAAAGTGCTAGAGATTGTTTTAAATGATGTCTTAATAAAGCAGTGTTTCCCAAACTTTTGACATATGTGTACCCCTTCTATAATTTTCGTAATGCTGAGTACCCCTCGTACTCATGAGAACGTAGAATTAGGCGCAGCTAAGCATAGTGCAGTGCATATCCCCACCAAACTCTGGTGCAACGTGTACCTCCACCAAACTCTTCCCGTATACCACACTTTGGGAAACACTGTGGAATGTAGAAAAGAATCACTATTTGCGATGCAGGAATGGTCCCTATGATCCTTATCTTTCATCTCTGGGAAAGGATTGTTACCAGCATGATTACCTCCAGGCAGAATTTATGCAGAATTTCCCCAGATATTTTGAGGATGGAATACTATTTACTTTATATATTTAATGATAGAAGAGATGAATATCAAAAATCACCAAGGTGAAAAGTTAACAACAGCAGTTCTTGTTGGCAAATGCTAACACCAAACTCAAGAATGCACCAACTCAAGAATGCAATCTCGTGCATTCATGTATCAGACAATCTCTCACGGCAGCTCGAACGCTCTCCCCACAAAAGCCACAGCGGTGTTCTCTACTTTCTCATGTAGAGTTCCTCCAGCCCAAAGCCCCTTCGCCGGGCTCTGCCTCTAACCCCCTTCCTCTAGCAACCACCTGTGCATCCTACACAGCGAAACTGAAAGCTGGAAAAGGTAACTGTGAACTCTAGGAAGCAGGGCTAGGTCCAACCCCTTACCAGTGGATAGCCCATTCTCGGCTGTTTACTGAGGGAATGGCCTCCTAAGAAATATGATGGCACAATCCACAAACACAGAGAATGTTGACTGAATTTTTAGTGTAAAGCTAAAGATTCCAAGGGGCAAGGTGTCTCTACCCTAATTACTGGGATCCCCAGTAATAATGTAATAACCTTTTTCTTCCTTCCTTCCTTCCTTCCTTCCTTCCTTCCTTCCTTCCTTCCTTCCTTCCTTCCTTCCTTCCTTCCTTCCTTCCTTCCTTCCTTTCTGCGAAAGAACTCAGGGAAAAAGAAGAATAAATCCATATACTGCCTGGATGAAGACATTACAAAGCACTTGATAAGGCAGGTTTTCAGAGATGTATTGTCTGGCATTCCAAACAATTCAGTAGGAGCTCAGAAGTCAGGGTGAGAACCACATTTATCCCTCCCAACAGCTGATAGACCGAGAGGTTGGGGGCGGGGCAGAGAACCTACCAGTAGGGGTCTTAGAATATCATTGTATTAAAAGAACTGAAAAATAGAGGCCCAGAGAAATTAAAGCTTGCTTAAAATTAGTCCTTTATACTAACCCACATGTGTCAAACACAAGGCCCGCGGGCCAAATCCGTCCCGCCAGGCCTTGCAATGTGGCCCGCACCGCGCTGTCATCACTGCACTCCGCTGCGTTTCCATCACAATGACAGTTTATGACTGTTCAGTAAACCATTTGGCCCGCGATTTAGGCTGGATTTTAGATTTTGGCCCCTTCTCTGATTGAGTTTGACACCCCTATACTAACCCAACAAATAAGAAACCCAGTTGTTCCTGAAGCAAGAAACTGTGGAAAAGCCAGACTGTTGTATCTCTCTTAGAAAATTATCTTACCCATTCACATGTTTAAAGCTCTGAATGGATTTGTGGTAAAAAAAAATAATAATAATAAATAAATAATAATAATAATAATAATAATAATAATAAATAATTAAAAAATAAAAAATTTAATTCAAATTTAATATCAACACAGAAACCTTTGTTTATTCTCATAGTTTTCACTATCTTACAAATCCAGGAATTTACCTAGAATCCACTTTGGAAAATGTTGGCATCAACCAAATAGAGACTTTCTGATGTTTAAGCGAGAATGGTAGTAGCATTTAAAAAATATATATTTTATTGATTTTTTACAGAGAGGAAGGGAGAGAGATAGAGAGCTAGAAACGTCAATGAGAGAGGAACATCGACCAGCTGCCTCTTGCACACCCCCTATTGGAGATGTGCCCGCAACCAAGGTACATGCCCTTGATCGGAATCGAACTCGGGACCTTTCAGTCCGCAGACCGACGCTCTACCACTGAGCCAAACCAGTTTCGGCAAGAATGGTAGTAGCATTTAATTAGAACACTTTATAATGGAATTGGAAGTATATTACATAGTGACCTATGCACAAAAAGAGATAATAATCTATATGCAAACAGTTATTTGAAAATAACTGGGGGGGTAGGGGGGGAAGAAAAGGTAGTTTTCAAAAGTATTACCAAGGAAGTGCTAGTGCAATATATTTGGTTCAGTTAACCTGAAAAATCTTAAAATGTGTCATTTCCTGATCATCTGTTAATATCACAGTGAAAAGCAAAGCAAATGAGATTCTAGATAGTGGCTTGGAAACCGTTCCAAAACAAATCAATTTTCAAAGATATTTATTATTAGCAGGCTTTCAGTTTCAATAAAACCACTACAAAATAAGTTTTAAAACAATTCTCTGGGGAGCTGGGTGAAAAGGTTAAGAAATAAAGATTGGTAGCTACAAAACAGTCACAGGGATGTAAAGTACAGCATAGGGAACAGAGTCAATAACATTGTAATAACTATGTATGGGCCAGGTGGGTACTGGAAACACAAGGGGGATGGTTTTTGTAAAAAATATGAATGTCTAATCATTATGCTGTATACTGAAACTAATACAAAACAATGTTCAATGTAAACTGCAATTAAGAAATAATTTTTAAAATAACTGTCAGCATGTACCATAAACCATTAATTAACTTTAGAAATTTTCAGAAAAAGATTTAGAATCAAGTACACATTTAGAATCAAGAACATTTAAAGCTGTCATTTGTTTTCTGAGTTTTTCATTGGGATGGAAGAGGAAATAACCATGGAAGCTCCTTCTATAATATAACTGATATTAGGTAACAAATGAACTAAAACACAGACACCATCAAAGTATCACTTAGAATCCCTGATCATTTGATTTCTCTTTCAGAAAACAAAAGTAACTAGAAAAATGTCACACCCTATCTTCACAGTGCTTTTCCATCTACTATCAAACCATTCTTAAGGCCCTTAAAAATGTTGTTACATGATATCTACCATAAAAAATAATTTAGCATAATAAATAAAAAGGCATCTACACATCTAGCAACTTATTCACATAGAGTTAAGGGAGGATGAAAATGTAAGCTCCACATTTGGCCATTGATGTATCCTAAATATCTAAATAAGCATCTTGCACATAGAAAGATATGTGTGTGTGGAGGGGGAGAGGGGAGATATGTACATTATAGAAATTTTCCAGACAAATATTTAAGTTCTCTTTAAACCAAAGAAAATAATTCAAATATACATCAGGCTACTTAGAAAAATACTCAAAATACATCTTTATACACAGAATTCTAAACATTCATGAAAAATCATCCAACTCTTTACAGGTTTGATTATGCTCAGCTCTAAAATCCAGCAAACAGAAAAAACAATGTCAAAGAAATATATAAAAACTGTGACACCTGCCAAAACCAGTTTGGCTCAGTGGATAGAGCACTGGCATGCAGACTCAAAGGTCCCGGGATCGATTCTGGTCAAGGGCATGTACCTTTGTTGTGGGCACATCGCAGTAGGGGTTGTGCAAGAGGCAGCTGATCGATAATTCTGTCTCATCGATGTTTCTAACTCTCTATCCCTCTCTCTTCCTCTCTGTAAAAAGTTAATAAAATATATATTTTTTTAAAAATGTGACACCCTATGAAAGAAGTGCTATATAGCTTTCAAAAGTATTCTCTGAACATCTGGCTTCCTTTCTTAGAATTCAAACCTTGTGTTC